TTTTCTGAAGTCACTGAGTGAAAAAGTTAAAGTTTAGAGTTTAAACCAGTTTAGAAAACACAAGACAAGATGGAGGATTTAAAGTGTTGTCTCTTTTCCTTCTTCATTTTCTTCTAGAGGTTTTGGGGCAGTAGTAAGTGATTGGATAGAAAATGTCACAGTGCAGCACACAGGTGTTGGGTCATTGGGTCATTAAGAAAAATAATTTACATGTCTATTGTTAATTAGATAAGAATAAGTATAAAAATAAAAAGGCTGCACAGTTTGGGGCCATTTTGTGCCTTCAAAGCCAAAGTGAGCCAAAAAGGGCAGGATGAATTGAACTTGAGCAAAAAGTCTGGAAAATCTGCCAAGTTTTGTGATAACATCCTAATAAACACGAGAAACAAGATCCTAACAAGTTTTGAGGTTTTCTTCCTGACCCAGAGAACTGAGATAAACAGAACTCCCTGTGAGAGATTATTCCAAAGGAGCTCAGCTCAGAGGAGGTTGGGAAATCCAGGTGTGAGGAGAAATACAGCAGAATCTAAAGAGAAATAGATTAAAAAGTTATAGTGTAGCAATGGGATTTAACTATTGAATGTGCTGAATTCCCCCTGGTCCTTCACTGCTGATATCAGGCATGAAATCTGAGAAAATTGCATTCTCTTTGGTGCATTCTTGATCTTCCCTGGTTTGGATTTCTCTTTCAGGACTGTAATGGAAGTTAAATATCAGATATCTGTTCCTCATGCAGAAATCTTATTAGGAGGCACAAAATTTCCTCTCTGGTGCCTTTTTCTCTGACATATTTTACCTCAGTGCTGACATAAACCTCAGAGCAGCGAGGAGGAAACCATGAGGGGAAATGCATGAGAAGAGGAGAAAATGCAATCCATTTTTTGAGCCATTCAGAGGGAGACTTTTTCAACTGCTGTTGATGGAATCTGGTTGTGGAATGTGGGAAAAGGAGAGAGAGAGATGTGAAATATCTGTGGTGGTTTGTAAGGGGGGAGAGAAGCTGATTCTCTCACAGGCCGTGCTGAGGATGGGGAGGCAGCTGAGGGAGGGGAAAGCATGTTGTGGTTTGAAATTCCACCTGGAGCTTTTTAGTCTCATTGCTACCCAGAGGAACGAGCAGCTTGTTTCCAATCAGAGCTGCCATTCTCCAGGGCAGAAAGCCTTTGTGCCTGTTCACACAGCTGCTGCTGGCCTGGCAAGGGCACTCCCACAGCTCCTGGGACAGGCCATGAGCAGGGAACAGAACACCTTGCTCTCCTCATCACCCCCAGAGATGAATCACCAGCAAGTTGTCAAGCTTTTCTTCCTCTTTTCCTTTTAAGTCATTAAAATCAAGCAGAAATTCACATGCAACTTGTCTCACCTTGCAGCAAAGTTACTCTGTCTTATCTCATCCTCTGTTCTGCGTTGAACCTCAGCCACTTAGTCATGCCTAAAATTCCACTTCTGTAACCATGATGTAAAACACCCCTGTGTCAGAGCACCAGGAGGATAACAGCAATATCTAAATCTACCCCTCTTCCCTTTCTCCTGTCTCTAACCACTAGACAATGCTCCTTCCAGACCTGGTAAAAATTTGTCAGAGTCTGTGCAGCTCCTTGGGCTGGAAGAAGTGACACAGGACGTGGGAACAGAAACTCAGAGAGCCCAAGGCTGGCTTCAGGGCAGAGAAAACCCAAATATCCCAATGGTCATGGGATGTCCTTTCTCATGCAGAGACCCTTCCCTTGCTGGGGAGAGAACAAAACACTTGCTAAGTTCAAATGGAATTTCAATAATTTATTTTTATTTAAAAAATGCTAAGTACAGCCCAAGAGCTATTAAAAAAAATCACAGAATGGTTTGGCCTAAAGATAACTCCAACAACAACCCCTGCTTGTGGCAGGGACCAGATTGCTCAAAGTCCCATCCCACCAGGCCTTGAACACTTCCAGGGATGGGGCAGCCACAGCTTCTCTGGACTCAGGGCCTCATCACCCTCACAGGGAAGAATTTCTTCCCAATCAATGTGAACCTGCATCCTTTCAGTTTAAAGCCATTCCCCTTTTCCTCTCCCTCCGTGCTCTCTTCCCCAGCCCCAAATTTGAGGGAAAAAAAAACAAAATTGGGGGTGGGGACCCCAAAATTCGAGGAAAAAAAACCCAAAATTGGGAGTGGGGACCCCAAAATTCGAGGAAAAAAACCCCAAAATTGGGGGTGGGGACCCCCAAATTTGGGGAAAAAAAACCCAACTGAGTTCCTCCCCAGCTCTCTGGGAGCCCCTTCAGGCACTGGAAGGTGCTCTGAGGTCTCCCTGGAAACTTCTCCAGGCTGAATAACCCCAGCTCTCTCATCCTGAGAGAGCCTGATGTTGGCACTAAATACTCATTGAGTATTTAACAGTAACAATTAGCAAACATTTCTTTAAATGGATGGCTAATTAGACTTGATTAAAGTCGGTGTGGCACAAGCAACCTGGAATTGGATGGTCCTGTCCTGACCTGGCTCTCAATCTTAAACCTGAAAATCTCTGAAAACCTTGAACCTGAAATCTCTTGAAAACTTTAATCTCTGAAAACCTTGAACCTGAAATCTCTGAAAACTTTAATCTCTGAAAACCTTGAACCTGAAATCTCTGAAAACTTTAATCTCTGAAAACCTTGAACCTGAAATCTCTGAAACACACAGGTCTGTGGTGCCTTTGGCAGGTGAGGACAGATCTCATCCCCTTGAGAGCTCATCCTGCCCCAGAGCAGCCACAGCCCGCCTGGGTCACTGTGGGGTGACCTGGAGAAGCCTTTGGGATCCTCCCAGCCCTTCCAACACCGTGCCAGCAAACAGAGGAGCTGCAGGGAAGGTTTCCTGTGAGCTGGAATGCTCTGCCTCTCCCCAGTGAAGAAGGGAAGCACGGGATGTGCTCAGCTAGTTTGGCTACAGGGACAGCTGTACAGCTTCCCACTCCCCGCTTGGATGTCCCATCAGGAGAACAACACAGCCCAAAGAGCAATCAGAAGAGGACAGCAATTCCCAGCCTTTCTTGGAAAGGTTTGGATTGAGCAGCTCCATCCCTGGGCTGTGCAGTTTTACCCTCTGACACGTGCAGGGGTGAGGGTGGTGAGAAAAAGTCAAGCCAGAAGTTCTGGATGCTGAATGTGAGATATCAGGCAGTGTCTGTGGGAAACTGAGTCACACAACTCTCTCCCTCTGGCCTGAGAAATCATAAGGAGGAATCCCAACAGTCCTTGGAGAAGGAAAACAACCTTTGCAGGTGTTGTTTGTTCCTTGTTGTTTGCTTGTCAGAAACGGCCCAGGGGTGTTGTTCCAACTGCCCAGTGATGGTGATGGGTTGGTTTCATGAGCAATGAGAGTTTTACCTCCTCAGACCTGCTCAGAACTGTCTATAAAAGAAGATCTGGAAGAATAAAACTTGCTGTCTTGTGCAACTGGAAAGTCTGTGTGGTCACTTTGCTGTTCCCAATACAGTGTGACAAGAAGATCCCTAAACTTCATCCTTCTGAGGTATTTTCCACCCTGAGAAATGGAGTGGAAACATCAGCCATGGCTGTGTGAACAGGGCTGCAGTTTTCCCCTCACACTGGCCACAGCAGCAGCCAGACCACTGAGAGGTTTCACAAAAACAAACTCTGAAGCAGACAACACAAACCACAGGCCACCAAGCTGAGAGCAGCACCAGGGAGAAGGAAACAAATGCTGCAGGCTGCTGAGGAGCAGCAGCAGAGCTGCAGGAAGGCAGGAGCACGGCACAGCTGAGGATGGACCGCAGCTGCAGCCTCCGTGTCCTGCCTGGTGGCAGTGGCAGCCCCAGGGTTGGGGCTCCGTGGGGCAGACACCAGGATGAACAGATAGGGTTTGGGGTTTTTGAACACCACTTTGATTCTTTGCCCTTCAGCCCACTCTATGAGAAGTTTCTGGGGCCAGAGGTCGCACAGGTGGTGCCTTTGGGGACAGCAGCACTTCTGCTCAGCCACAAGCGCCCAGCTCCACTCTAAACTTTGCCTTGAGATCAGCCCCTTCCTGATGGCCAAAGTGGGCTTGGGCTGCTCTGTCTGTGCTGCCCAAACCACACCTTCCCCATCCCCACATCCCCGTGTTTCCATGCTGGAGCTCCAAAGCCTCACGGAAAGGTCCCTGTGCCAAGCAGGCAGCAAAGAGGGATGAGGATCCCGGGTTTCTCCACGCTGCTGGAGAAGGAATGAGGCTCTGACTCCTGATCACAGAGGCCTTGCAGTGCTCTGGTTGCACCAAATGAGGAGAGGAGAGCACCACTCACTAGAAAAATATATATTTACCATCTGTGTTCTGCTCAGGAGAGAACCTCTCATGGCCAGGGGCCCGGCCAGAGCCATGCATGGTGCCAGCGTGTCACCACCTGCAGCAGGAAAGGGGTGGCAGACCAGGCCTCCATGGAGAAGCCTCATGTGCTGAAAGGGCAGGAGCAGGGCTCGAGATGCTGCTTTCAGCTGCAGCCCCACTGCCCTGCTGTGCTGCTTGCATTGCACCAGCAGAGCCTGTGGCCACCCCACCTCCCCCAGCTGTCACTTCTGGGACACCCCTCAGGGCACTGCTGCTCCTGGCGTGTTCCTGCCCATCCTGGCAGCTGGGATGAGTCCAATGAAGTGGTTGGGGAGCATTATCTGGGATGGGAATGCTCCATAACTGAGCACAAAGTGAACGCAGCACCTCTCCCAGCAGGGCTGTGACACCACGGGGAGCAGCAGGTCCATCTTCTCAGGCAGCGAGTAGTGAGTTCCAGCAGGCTCTTCAGCACGCCACATCTCGAGTTTGTTGGGGGATTTTGGAAGGAGAACTCGTGCAATTCTGCTCAGGCTGATGCAGCACAGCCCTGGTGTTCTCCAAGCCTTTATGGGTTGCTTGAATCCCCTCACGCTGAAGCCCAAACGTGGTTTCTGGGTGGCTTTTGTGGTGTCCCCGTGCCCAGGCAGCACTCAGCCCTCACAGTGTGTGTGTGTGTGTGAAGGGGCTGCCAGCCACGCTCCATTTCAAAGCTTAAACAAACCAAAGAAAGTCTTGGATTCCTCAAAATTAACCAGGGCGATTTTGGAGACGTTGACGTGCAGACTGTCCATCTTCCTGAGCTTGAAGAGAGCCCCCAGGTAGCTGTTGCGGGCCCACATCCTCTTCCCCGTGCAGAAATTGGTGGCTTTGTCCTCCATGAGCACCAGGCTGCCGGGAGAGGATGGATTCCTCTTGTAGACGACGTGGGACAGGAGCTGGCTGTCGCAGGCGCTGCCACGGAACAGCACCTTGGAGTACACGAAGTACAGCCCAGGCTCGCTCACCACCAGCCCCCGCTGCTGGTACTGGATGCCACTGGTGTAGGCATGGCCAGAGATGGGCTCCCACTCCAGAGGAAGGTCCTGCTGGGCTGGGTTGCCTGGAAGGTGAAAGAAGAGCGAGAAGGAAGGGTGGTAAGGACGTTGTTGTGGTTTCTCCTCAGGTGGCACCAGGCCAGGCGTGGAAAATCCTCGCCTGCCCCCCGCTCCCGCCCTGCGCGCCCCAAAAACCTCAGCGAGGAGCAGAGATGAGGGGGAGGGTTTTATCTGTTTCCAGATAGAATTTCCACGGTCAGAGCAGAGGTGTGGGCTGAGGAGAGCAGGGAAGCCTGTCCTGATAACTCCAGCCCTTCCCCTTGCCCATCCCCGCTCCCTCAGCACGTACCTGTCAGATGTGCCGCCCTCCTCGCCTCCTTCTGCACAGGCTGCTCCTTCTGCCCTGCACGAGGAGAGGGAAGGCATTGGCCACCTGCTCCAGGGAGAAGTCAGCCCAGAGAGCAGGGAGACCCTGCTGAGACCCTGCACAGCATCCTCGGGCTGGGCTGGAGCTGGGAAAACTCTGCCTTCCCTGGGGAGCTGAGTTCCCTTTGGAGAGATGGGCCAGCTCCAGTGGCTCGGTTTTTTATCCCACTCCATCCCTTCACTTTTCCTCAACCTCTACTTCATGTTGTATAATTTTAGAAGCAGCCCATCCTTTTCTAGAGGAGCCTTTTCCTTCTCTCAATTAAAATTTTCCTCTCCGCTCCCCCTTCTCCTTTACACAGTTTCTCTCCTTCTATTTATTTATCCAGCCCTCTCAGGAAATTCCGGTTTATTTTTTATGTTCAGCTTCTGCTAAAGAAGCCTGTGATCAGAGAACTGAGCATCCAGTTCAAATGACAGCTCCCCTTCCCCTAAAGGGGAAAATTCATTGGTGCATTGAGGAGAACCAGGACTGCCCTTTCCCAAGAATTTTGCTATTTCAACTTTTTTTTTTTTTGATTCAGAAAAAAATTTGAAACTAAATTTTCTAATAACTAAAATTCTCTGTGGGGGAAAAAAAAAATAGAACTTTTCAGATCTAGGAAAAAGCTATCAAGAGGACCAAAAAGGACATCCTCACTTATAATATTAAGATGGAATGCCAAAGAAAAGCAATAGCTTGGAAGTTCAAAACACAATTTTGAAATTGTTCCATTCAAATTGAAACTCTTTTTTTTTTTTTTTTTTTTTTTAATTTATTTCGTTTTTCTCCCAAATAAAATCTAGGAAAAGCAGCAGGTTCTTGTGGACAAGTTTCCATTTCACTGGGTTCCTCCTGCAGGTACAGACTCACCCGTGAGTTTCTGGGAGGCTGGAGGGATGTGCTCAGCGCTGGCAGACTGTCGAGGGAGAAGAGGAACACTTAGACTGAGAGCATGAGCTCTCAGAAAAGCACAGGGAGCAGAGATATCCGGATAAATCAGCCACGGACCGAGCAGTCCCTCACCTCTGTCACCCCCTTCCCCTGTCACCACCACCGTGCCCTTGGGGGGCAGCTCAGACCATTCCAAGCGTTTCTTTTTCCCTCCTTCCTTCCTTCCCCAGGGATCTGTGCCCATCCCTCACCTCTCTGAGTTCATCCACTTCCTTCTCCAGGTGAAAAATCTTAAATATGCTCAGCCCCACTCCGGTGAAGGCCACCAGGATCAGCAGGAACATCACGAGGAAGCCGGCGCTCCTCCTTTCCCCGTCGTTCCGTGGCTTCCTCCTCCGGTCGGGTACCGGCGGTGGGAAGGGAGCCCCGGGGGGAGCCGAAGCATCAGCACAGCCTTCCACCCAAAAGATCTGCGGGTAGCAGTTCGGGTTGGGGATGGGCCGGACGTGCCTGCTGGGATCGTCCTTGTGGTACCCGAAAGCTGCCGGGCTCGGCGCAGCCCCAACCCCGGGGGCAGCTCTGCCATGGTACGGCTGCATCCCCGCGGGGATGCTGCGGCTCCGGGAGCACCCGGCTGGGATGCTGCCAAAATCACCCGGCTGGGATGCTCTGAAATCACCCGGCTGGGATGCTCTGAAATCACCCGGCTGGGATGCTCTGAAATCACCCGGCTGGGATGCTCTGAAATCACCCGGCTGGGATGCTCTGAAATCACCCGGCTGGGATGCTGCTGCTCTGAAATCACCCGGCTGGGATGCTGCTGCTCTGAAATCACCCGGCTGGGATGCTGCTGCTCTGAAATCACCCGGCTGGGATGCTGCTGCTCTGAAATCACCCGGCTGGGATGCTGCTGCTCCGAAAGCCTCAAGCATCAGCAGCAAAGCCCCTTCCGGCCCTGCTGGGGCTCGGGACACTCGCGCTCCTCCCACAAGCGCCCAGGCTGCTGCTTCCCCGCAAAATCTGTCGAAGAGAAGGAACAGAAGGAAGGAGAAACTCTCCGGAGTCCCGCACCGCAAGGGAGAGACGCAGCCCAGGAGTCCTCCCCAGCAGGAGATGCAGAACCGGCCCCGAGCGGGATGCGGGGGAATCGCTCCGTTCCTTGGGCATCCCACCCTTGCTTTGGCAGCTCTGCAGGGCGTGAAAAAAAAGTAAAGTAAAAGCGAAAGCTTCAGTGAGAAGAGGAAGAGCCTGAGCAAAGGTGCCCCCAGCAGAGCCAGCTCAGGGATCTGCCCTCCTGCCTTCCAAGGAAAAACTCGGAATCCAGACCATGCTGCGAGGGCCAGCACTTGTAAGAGATCATTACAATATCTTAATGAAAAGAGAAATTCCATTCCCATTTCTCAGTTTCCATTCCTCCTTTATTGCAGATTTCTATCGGGAACAGTGAGATTTTCCCCACAGATTTACAGGTGTGCACAAGTGATTATAAACATTTTTTCTTGCACTTTACAGCCCTGTGCTGAAGCGTGCACTTGTATGGGGCAGTGTTAAAAAAAAGGAGATGCTTAACACAAGAGCAAAGTGGAGATTTGTCTCCCGTGGCTGAAGGAAGCAATCACAACACACAGGCTTTGATCTTGAACATCAAAACTGGGGTCTGAAAAGGGCACATTTGAACAACCTTTACAAAGCCAGAGGGTCACAGGATGGCTTTGCCTGGAGAGGATTCACTTCCACATTTTGCTGACACTGTGTTAATGCCAACAGCTTACTGAGGTGGGATTGAGGAGAGAGTAGCAGTTTCCCTTAAATGTCAAAAGTGTTCTTACTCCACACCCACTGCTTCCCACTTTCACAAAGATGCTTTTTTAAAGGGTGGGTGAGAGGGAGGGACAGGGAAACCAAATGAAGCCATTTCAGCTGCACCTTCTTTTTTTAATGCCCAGATCAAGAGCCTGCTAATACCCCATGTGGTGGCACACCAAAGATTAGGGCTATTTTACCATCAAAAAAGATGCTTAGAGCACAACATGCTTCCAGGGACCTCCCCTGCTGTCACTCTCCATTTTCCTGTCACCCCTTTCTGACACTGGCTGGAAGATGATGCGGGGCTGTGTCTGCACAGCACATCAGGATCACAGAGCCACAGGATGGCTGAGGGTGGAAGAGAACTCTGGAGATCCTCTAGTCCAAAAAAAGAAAAAGCAGGTTCTGCTGCTCAAATGGCACAGGACATTAACAGGACTACTGAAATAATTTACTGAAGGTGGGCACTTCAGTCAGGTGAATTTTGCTAGAAGGCTTGGAGCCAGAATTTAGACAAGGCTGAGCCCTCTTTAACATGTGGGGCAAGGACAGCTGGGCAGGAAAACAAGGCATAAGGAGGGGTGTGAGATTTGCCTCCACCACCCTCTCCCCCTCTTGAACCTGCCTCTACACCCTGTTTCCAGCAGCCCTATCGTGTCCTTTGAACAGGAAGGAATATTTTCCAGTGGAAACACATTCCACAGCCCTCATCAGAGAGTTGTTCCCCCTTTACCAAACCAACAAAAAACATTACAGAGACTGCAGAAGAGGATTTGCTCGGAAGAATGCTCTCCATCCCCCATTCGCCCACAGAGGAGAGATGGGAGCTCTTATTAACAAGACACAATTATGCTGGAGCTGATGGCAGAGAATCCAGTTTGGATTTGGGGACAGAAGGATGACCTGCCTGAAACAGCCAAAAAAACAAGCAGGACTTGAACAATGATCCAGATCTAATACTTGACAGAAAAGAAACCCTGAAACTCAGAACAAAAACTGAAGTGTGAAGCTCTGTGTAGGAGAGACCCTTGCAGTGTTTTGGACAGAGTCTGTCTGGAAGCAATTAACAAATATTTCCTATTGCACTAATGACTAGTGGAAATGTTAAAAAGCAACTCTTGAAAGCCAACAGGGCTGTGGGAGTTACACCCAAGAGCAACTGAGAAAGTTGTTCAAACTTGGCTCATTTGCCTTCAAAAACACAGGATTCAAAATCATAAGGACAGAGAATTGAATCAGAAGAAAACGAGGCAAGAAACCAAGAGTGCAGATCAAGCTCTTTGGGTAGAAAACAGTGTGCTAGAAAAGAAAACAAGTCTTTAGCTGAGGCTCCTCAGCTGGACACGAGCTTCCAGCAGGGAAAGCCCACAGGCTCCCCTGAGAGCTCACACACAGCTCTGGGCAGCTACAAACACTCCTGGAAATCACTTTACAGTCTTTGTTCAACTCCAGAGAGGCTCTGGAAGAAGTTGCAGGAACTGTTGGACAGAAAGGAGGTTCAGATCTGTCTGTTCAAGAGCAGATTGGCAGGGAGGGATGGACAGTGTGTGGAAAACTTGTGAAGAGAGGGATGATTTCCAGCAGAAATTAATTAAAGAGCTCTTTAATCTCACAGAATAAAATGCCTCCCAGGGAGCCACAAATTGTGAGCCAAATCTGAAGGAGTTTGAACCAAAAGTTGGATTTTTGACAGAGCACTGGGATGGATGCTTGAGAGAGCTGCCTCCAAAGGGAGAGGAGACTGAAGCCTCAGAGGGGTGTGGAAGGCACCAGGACTCGCCCAGCCTTTGCAGTTAGCACCATCTTCACATCATTTTCTTTATCACATCTTTATTAACAGTCAGGTTTCTCAAATAAGGGAGATGCTTTTCATTGCCTCAACAACTGCTCTCCTTGCTCAGAGCACTTGTTGCACACATAAAGCCATGGCAAGGACATTCAGATATTCACACTCAGGAAGAGGTTTTAAAATCAACTGGCTCTAGAGTGCTTAACACATCCCTCTCCTTCTCCCTGATTCCAAGGAGCAGCCAGCAGCCCTGAATTCAGCAAATGAGGGCTCTGTCCTGAGGTGAGAGAGAATCCAAGGAGACAAAGCAGATGAGGAAAAGAGGAGTGATTTAAATATTACTCTGCTGCTTTTGTGCCTGTGCTAAGTGCAGGGAAATGAGGTAGGGTGGTTCTGAGGAACAGAGCAGCAACAAGGAGCTGTGGCCAGCTGTGAGGAGGAGCAAGAGAACGTGCAGGTGTCCAGTTCCTGTCCCCCCTGTGCTGAAGGGAGGTCAGGACATCCCCAAACCCTTCTGCAGGGTCTGTGCCCTGCCCCAGCCTCTGGGCACAAAGCCAGCCCTGGCAAACTCCAGCTGGCTCTGCTGGACAGTTTTATTTCTTTTTGGGAGCAGCCAGTCTCAGCCCATTCCAAATTCTAACTGTGTCATTACAGCTCACAGAAGCTTCAGTAGCTGCCCCCAGTTATTTTTCTGGGAAAAGAGAAATAGCAGGCAGGGATTGCTGTTTGCTGTGAGCTCACAGAGAGCCCTGCAGCTGGATGGAGGCTCCAACCACATCAAACAAGGGAGAAAAACAAGCCCCAAGGTGGCAAACGTTTCTTTTCCATCTCCAGGTCCACAAGGGGCAGAGTTCAGTTCCTCTCCATGGCCTCCCAAAAGCTGCCCTGCTGTGTGGGAGCTCCTGGTGGCTCCCACAGAAGGCCCAGCCCCTGTTTCAGTACCAGCAGGCAGGCAGCAGAAGCCTCCTGGGAAGCTTCTTACAAATCTATTCTGCTTAAAATTAGAGAAGGGGTAAGAAAGGTGAGTTTCAGCACGTCCTCCTGAGCTCAGCTTTTATCTGTCACAAAGCCCAGCTGCAGCAGCTGCTGCTGTTGGACACTCAGGGTTTCCAGATGAGACACCCTGGGTGTCACAGCACTCTGTGGGCAGGGCTCTCCACTCGACTGTTCCAAACCAAGTGGAACATGTTGATGGTTAATTAAGCAGAACCTGCTAAGCTGTTCCACCTCGTGCTAAGGTGGCAGAAGCCACACACCACCTTAGGTTTGGGTTTTCTGCTTACATCACCACACAGAATCTGTGTATTTAGAAAAGCCTGGATTTCCACTGGTATTTAATGTATATAACCTGAACACTTTGCTTTGGCAAACAGCAAATCACTTACACAAGGTCTGTGTTTGCACCTATCCACGTGGAAACCTTCACATTGAAGGTATTTTTGACCTTGGGAAGGACACCATCCTCACTCCAGCACACACACACTGGCTTCTGGCTGTTTTACACCAACAGCTGTCCAACTAAGACTGTCACAGAAGAATTTGAGATGTACGAACTGTCTTCATTAGAAACTATTAGCCCTGCACAAAGTCTATAACCAATTTAAGAGACTCAATTCCAAAGAAACAAATTTTAAAAGCCAGACTGTGTGACATTAACAAAACTGAAAGTAAAATATGACTCAAGAGCCCACATAAAAGGAAAAGATTAGGCAATAATAACCTGATGGTAAGAAAATCTTTTTTTAAAAAGTGGTTACAGATAACTAAAAGAACTAAACTAAACTAAAAGAACTAAAAGAAGGGAGGCAGCAGCAGGTGGAAGCTGTGGTTCAATCTCTTACCAGAACACACTCTCAAGTGTGCAAAAGCATAACTGGCCCTGTAGGTTCCTTCAGATGCTTTATTCCCATGGCACTGTTCCCATGTGTTCATTACAGGACAAGCTTCAGCACTGGTGTTTTTCCACAGAATGCATCAACTCCTTAATCCTAAATCAGGCCCTGTTTTTAAAATTTATAGAGAGAGAGGGGCGGTTTAGAGAATTCAGTCAGGTGAAAAGCCCAGTGGTTGTCTGGGCAATAAGGGTACACGTGCTTCTAATGAGTGATGTATCAAGAGGAAGGAGTAAATAAAAAAGTAAATAGAAGAAACCCATGCTTCCCCCTCCCCCAAAACACCCAACACTCTCCT